GAACGCCATGCAGCTGCTCATTTCTCTCGGGTTCAAGACAAATAGATAGGGGCATCTGTCATACCCCAAATTTGTCCTACTTTTTTCAAAATTTTATTTGTCCGACTTTATTTTTAATTTTGCATCACTTGTACAACATAACGTGCATTTTAGCATGAATAATTCCTAAAATGATTAGCCAAAATAAATTTCTTGGATATACAGACAGACCGGTGAATTAATTTATCAAATTAAGCGTAAAATTAGCGTACAAAAAGTTTTAAAATCGAACTTGCAGAAGGCAGTATTTTTGATCTATGTTTCACGTAGTTTAGCCTGGTGTGCTCATTTTAAATTTTTGGCTATTTTTCGGTCACATTTTTTATTAGCTGAGCCTTTTTGCCGGTCCAAAATTATTTCCAAATCTAGCCAAAAGCTATATTTTTCCTGGTCGTTTATTCAGTGCTGATCATTTTGATACGCTCATTTTATTTTTTTCGAAAACTTTCGCGTTTGATTTTTTATTTCTTTTATTTCTATTTTTAATCAAAATAATTAGCTTAATTTAATTAGAACTAGTTGATATTAAAATTAATTTTATTTTCAATATTTAGATTTTATTTTACTTTTTATTATATTCAAAAAGTAAATACTTGTATTGGATTATAAGATTGTACTACAAAACTTGTCCTCCACATTAATTCCCTTCCAGCTAGCATCTTTGTCCCCTACTCACTACAATTTTTCAACGGTATCACGAGGGACCACATTTTGAACGGATACAGCTGACTGAAGAATTGAAATATCTTTCTCCCATTCTCTTTTATCTCGACACGTGGCCCCTATGCTAAAGTTCTGAAAGTAATTAAGAGGAATATTCCATCACGTGACTGCTGTAAAGAAACGATTTTTTTCCTCCATAAGAAAGGACCCACGTGTTACAAATGAGATGATTTTGTTTTCAGATGGACCAAACCATTTTTTTCTTCTTTCAATACACCGTTCATTTTTTTACTCATCATCAAAAAATCTCACCATGTGAAAATCCCCATTGCTACATCAAACTAAGCCATGCATTTCACCACCATTATCATGTTTTTATCATAAACCATCAAGACATTAAACCTCTATTATAACCAAATAGAACCTCTTCCATGAAGTTCCATAACACTTCTTACAAAGTAATCTATAACACATAACCATTTATTTCCATAATCAAACCTTAAACAACATCATTCTCACTGTATTACTCTTTTCAACTCAAAACCAACTTCCTCATCAAAACACTAACCACCTCCACCCTATACTATTAACCTCACAATAGCTTTGACACCATTCTCATCACCACTAACCTCACTTTCAAAACCCTTATGACCTTCCATACGACTCTACCTCTCCTCAAAGAAGATAAACCGTAAATCCACCACAGAACTCCTTCTGACTGCACCTTAACACCTTCACTAAATTCTTACCGCCTTCCGTTTACATCTTCCTCGCGATCGACCTTACCTTATATCAATATGACCTCCTTTTCATTAGTTCAAACCTTAATTATTTCGCACACAAGTTTAAACCTCGATCCGAATCGAGTATTTTCTTCAAACCAAATCAATATACTTAATTGTTGCTTAAACACAATTTTAATAAAAGACAAAGAGGGAGTTGGAGTGGAGTCTTCGATTCCTCTCCTCAATTGTTTGGGCCCGAAGAGCCTTTCTTACGCTCGAGAATTGTCTTATCTAAAAGATTCCTAATCCGTTTCACAAAATCAAATCTATTTTATCAACACTTAGATGAAAAGAGAGAGAGAGAGAGTCAAGCATTTGATTCATTCTCCCGATTACTTGGGCCCGAGGAGTCTTTCTTAAGCTTCGAGTAATCGTCATTCGATTAACTTACTCTAACTATATCAAAATCCTTTCGCAATTAAGATTGAAAAAGAGAGAGAGTCAAGTATTTAACCCGTTCATTTAAAATACCAACCAACTGTAGTCTTCCGAACTACGATTTCTCTGACTTCCTCATTGCACAATGAGGGTACGTAGGTATAGGATTGCGAGATCCTAGCAAGCTATCTTTTCTCTTTAACCCAAACCTTCAACCGTAGTACCACGAACTACGACGCTCTGACTTTCCCATTGCACGAGAGAGTACGTAGGCACAAGGGCCCCAATCCTTGGCGAGCACCCTAATATAAAACCATCCATTTTCCCCTTAGAAGCGAATCTTTAGACGATAATAAACAAGCGTAGCTAACCTTTCTCTCGAATCAAATCAAGAGGTTCCCGTTGAGTACAACGGACGTAGAGGGTGCTAATACATTCCCTTTACGTAATCGACTCCCGAACCTAGAATTTGGTTGCGATGACCATGCTCTTATCTCTTTAAAGGTTTTATCGATATTTTCCTATTCCTTCATTGGAATGAATAAAGTTTGGTGGCGACTCTGTTCGAACGTTTTTCCGCGTCTATCGCGAGGATCGTATTTTTTCAAGGTACGATAGTGGTATCCAGAATGAATGTAGTCGTATGACTCCGACCTTATATTGTGCAGGATAACCATTAAAAATACCTGAGAGACTTGGTTTAAGTCTTTGCGAAGAAAATATGTTGGGACACCAGAAGCATTCTTTTGTACCTTTCGTCCTTTGATTAAGATTAGTTTGGATATCTTCTTGATGTTTGGCACTGCATTGAGATTGAACTCGCATGTGCAAGTACGACCGTCTGGGACGTTCAGAGCATCTCCATGTACTTGTTGATTACATTTCGCCTGAACGGTTCATCCTCTGATAGTGGTCTTGTAAATAAAAGTTTCTCCCTTTGCCGAAAGAGCACTGGCATAGAATTCACGAAGAATGTTATAGTTGAGATATTTTTGATGAGTAACCAGCACATCCTACTTCCTGTTCTTCAACAGCTGACTAATTGCTCGGTAGTCGCCTTCTTCATTGATTTTAAATCTTCTTTCCTTGAAGCGTTCTTCTTGTTATAAACAAAAAATATTATCAACGCATAACATAAACTATATATACTATTTAACTTTTATTAATAACAACAACATATCAACTCATAGAATGTTACAAAAACGTACCTGTCCTATAATGACATTTACAATGAAAGGAGGATGAAACTGAAGTGAGAGTTACAAACTTGTGTTAATTTTGAATGGATGTCATTTTGGGTCTTTCACACAAGTTTGCAGCACTCACTTTACCTTCATCTCGTTAATTTTTTTCATTCACCATCCCTACCTATAAGTCAAAAAAAGCAGAAAGTTCGAACATTACGAAACAAGCTATTGAATAAACAATAATACATAAATAGATTTTGAAACATAAGCTATTGTGAAGATGAACCTATAAGGTAGTCATTTGCTAATATTTGATACAATAAAGGTAATCCTTCGAAGAAGACGAGTTCTTTGCATACGTTTGGGGTTTACATATGAGAGAGACGAGTGACAGAGATGTTAGAGTTTTGCTTTGAGAGAGACGAGTGAAAAAGATGCTAGATTTTTGTTTTGAGAGAGATGACTGTTATGTACTGAAGCGAGTGATAATTTCACTTATATATAAATATGTAACACTTTTCACCACGGTTGATAATACGAACCGTGATGAAATGATTGCACCTTATACTATGCTTGATTATAAGAACCATGGTGATATACAAGGTCAAACCCATTATGTCACGATAAATAAAAAATTGTTGGTGTTAAGATTCAAACCCTTTCACTTAAAATATTTCTGAAAAATAAATGTAACAATTCTTGTGATGTTGATGGAATCTAGCAGTTATAAAATATATATCTTTTGAAAAGTATACCGATGCACCAATTTCGATAGAGTTAAATACACTTTACCCCCTGTAATGTGAGTGAGTTTCGGTTTATCCCCTGTAAAATATTTTTTTGATGCCCCTTAAAATGTTTAGATTCTGTTTTTTTGACCCATTTGATGACGTGACAATTATGAAATATTTCTTCTATTTACTAATTTGACCGTTTATGTGACATTTTTATTTATTTATTTATTTTTTAAAATTCACACGGACTTTTAAAAAAAAACATTTTATTTTTTTTCAATTTTGTTTTTAAATATTTATTTATTTTTGGTTACTTTTAATCCATAAGATCATGTTGGTATTTTTATTAATATTTTATTGTTTGACTGTTAAATACTAAAATTCACAACTTTTAAAAATTGATTCTACTGGACATTTGCTATGCAAGGGTACGCCTCAACCACCCCTCTGAGTGTGATGTTAGTATAACAATTTGAATAATAAACAATAATATTTTTTCTTTTAATTATGTCATTTATTTAAATAAATAATAGTGTTTAAAAATGAAATTTATTTATTATGCCGCGTAAAATGGTCTTCGATAGAATGAATGATTTGTACACGGATGAATGTACCTGGTGAAATAAATTTTTTTGTAAAATGATTTATATTCTGGTTTGATCTATGACGATGGCCTAAACGAAAAGAATTACGAACACGAAAATTCTAACATCAATTTCTCTTATGAAATTTTAAAAAGAGAAATTTCAAAATTCATTTCTCTAATGGAATTCTAAGATCATATTCTGATTTGATCCATGACTATTGTTTAAAATAAAAGAATCATGACCACAAAATTTTTAATATTTTAAATTTAAATATAGTATAATGGGAAGAAACAATATTATTATTTATTATAAACTATTATAAACAACCCTGATTGGGGCATTCTCTTACAGTGTCCTAGAAAAGGAAATATTCCAAACATCAAAATAATTGATAAAATAATAAAATAGCCAAATCAGTAATAAAAGCATGTCAGATAACACAGGATCTGATATGTGATAGAGCTTCCGATAACAAAGACTCGCAATAGTAAACAAAATAAGTGGTGCTTATCTGTAATCCAATAATAATGTATCTTGGGACATTCAATATCGCTAGCCATTATATAGACATATCAGAATAATGTGAGGTTCCAATCCAAATATCCATTCTACTTTAAGTCGCAAGCTATGGAATCCCAAAATGGAGAGGATGTTGCTTCCAATTTGCTCAAAGCTCAAAGCCACATATGGAATCACATTTTCAACTTCATCAATTCCATGTCACTTAAATGTGTTGTTGATTTAGGCATACCAGATATCATTAACAACTATGGCAAACCCATGTCACTCTCAAAACTCATTTCTTCACTTCCGATCCATCCTACGAAGAAACCTTGCATTTATCGCTTGATGCGAATCATGACTCATTCTGGTTTTTTCACTCAGCAAAATGTTACAGAGAATGAATTAGAAATTGAGTATACGTTAACTGATGCATCTAGGTTATTACTTCAGGACAATCCAATGAGTGTGACACCATTTGTCCAGGCGATGCTCAGCCCGATTATGACAAATCCATGGCATCAAATGTCTACTTGGTTGAAAAATGAGGAGTCTTCCCCATTTGAAACGACACATAAGAGGTATTTTTGGGATTATGCAGCTCACGACCCAATATTTAATCTTTTATTCAATGAATCCATGGCAAGTGATGCTCGTTTAGTGGGAGATCTGTTGATTGAGAACTGCAAGGAAGTGTTCAATGGATTGGAGTCATTGGTTGATGTTGGAGGAGGCACAGGGACCATGGCAAAGGCTATTGCCAAATCATTCCCACAAATGGAATGCATTGTGTTTGATCTGCCACATGTTGTTGATGGCTTACAAGGAGTTGATAACCTAAACTATGTTGGTGGAGATATGTTTCAAGAAATTCCACAAGCACATGCCATTTTGTTGAAGGTAAAATACTGTTTTTTTTTTGCTTAAAACTTTTGAGATAGATTATAGTGTGATATTGTCCTTGTAGATCCATAATTTATAATTGATGAGAAATCTCATCTTTAGTGACAATTAAAACACTAAACATAACATTAGTATTAGAAAACACAAAATTAGTGGATATTGATGACACTGTCAAACTAATTGTGTGATATGGTTGAATGATGAATTTTTTATTAAATGATGATCTAAAACTATTTTATAATGTTAATTTATTATTTTTAATCTCTTTTTATTTTATGACTTCTATGACTCTCTTTACACATTTTGAGTGAAATCGCAGTGGATATTGCATGATTGGAATGACGAAAAATGTGTGAAGATATTAAAGAAATGCAAGGAATCATTGGAGAAAAAAGGTAAAGAAGGAAAAGTAATTATCATTGAGATGGTGTTAGAGAATGCGACGGAAAATATTAAGGAATCAGTTGAAACACAACTCTTCTTTGATATGTTGATGATGATAATACCAGCTGGAAAAGAGAGAAATAAGAAAGAATGGATTAAGTTGATTTTATCAGCAGGTTTTAGTGATTATAAAATAACTCCAAGTTTAGGCCTAAGGTCTGTTATTGAGATCTATCCATAAAAAGATCAATGTCGGAAGTGATTGATTTATTGGACTTTAATTTATAGTGTGGATGATTTTTTTACAATCAAAATGTTATTGGTTATTTCACACTTAATATTAATATTGATGCTATCTTCATTATTAATTAGGGAAAATATTCTTTTTATTTTTATTAATTATATTTTGGGGTTTATTTTGATCTTTTAACTTTAAGAAGATCTATATTGATCTCTTAATCCTTCAAAATATTTTAAATTAATCTTTTTTGTCTAATTAGCGACTGATTTTTAAATTTTTCCGTCGCTAATAGGATAAAAATGACTAATTTGAAACGTTTTGAAGAGTTAAACAACTAATATAGATTTTTTAAAATTAAAGAACCAAAATAAACCCAAAAGTATAGTTAAAAGATCAAAAAAAGATATTTTACCTATTAATTAAATACTACACTTGTTCGTATATATATATATATATATATATATATATATATATATATATATATATATATATATATATATATATATATATATATATATATATATATATATATATATATATATATATATATATATATATATATATATATATATATATATATATATATATATATATATATATATATATATATATATATATATATATATATATATATATATATATATATATATATATATATATGTGGTAAAGAGATTAAGATTTGGTTCAGACTCTATCTTATAATAGATGGATATCAGTGTTATTTTTAAAGCAAATTGTTGTCAAATTAACAAGAAGTTAATTGTCAAGGTGTTTGTCATAAATTTCTAATTTTTATAGAGTTAATAAGTATTCTTTGTTGGAAATTTGCCAATTTCTTCTCAAGAATTTCACCAAAAATTGATGAGTTTCGAACTAAATCTTGATGAAAAAGAATCAATCTTTCTGATTTATCATCTCTCTGAAGGTGAGAAAATACTTAGAAGGGGGGTTGAATAAGTATGAAGATAAAATTTTAGAAATAAAAACTCAATTATTTTTATCCTGGTTCGTTAAACTCAACTACTTCAGTCCACCCTTTCTAGAGTGATTTGCCTTTCTCAATCAAGGACTTAATCCACTATTTAATCAACTGATTACAATAGTAAGCACTAAAAACAACTGTTCAAAGTCTTCTCAAGAACTACTGATCCTAACTGGATCTTCTTAAGGTTTTCTTACAATCAAATGTAATAACAAATACAAGTGTTAAAATGCTTCTAAAAAAGCTTTATCACAACTGTGATTTTTCACTTAATATTAAGAACAAAGAAATTAATTCTAGAAAGAATATATGAGTTGTATGAGAGCTTTTGATAGAGAATTCTTTTCAAGTGATGTGTCGTCAACTGAAGAAGATGAGTGGAGACTTGCTTTTATAGGCACAGTGATCTAAGAGTATTTCAAGTTGAGAAGTGTGTACCAAAATGTCTGAGCCTTTTTTGTCTTCACATCAAGTGACCTTTCCTAGAAGAAGAAAGCACAGAGAAATCCTTTTTGTCTGTGTTCTTGTGTCTAGCATAAATAAGGAAAGAGTCGTTTGGATATTTCAACGGGCATAATCTTTGAATTCTTCTTCAACAGTTTTCAGCAAGAATCATCAGAGTCTAATTTGATCAGATCCTTCTGATGTTGATCAGAGTTTTGCTGAATCAGAGTCTTTGCAGCAAGTGTGCTTTTAGCGTGTATAAGTTCAGAGCAGAGTTTTGGATCAGATCCTCAGTACTGGCAGTGTAACACCCCCTTTCTATGCCCCCAAATAATTCAATTAATAAATTAGGCACAAATTCAAAATTTCATCAGAGTACATTTGCAACATGGCATAAAAGGGAAATATCACATTATCATAAAAATTCCAACACATACAACACCTGCTCAAACAGATATGCAACATCAGGGTAACACCCATAAGAAATATTTAGAACAAGGCGGAAATATCCAAATATTTCATACTTCTCCAAAACATTTATTCACATATACAATTATCATTCATCATGTTTTACAAAACACATCGACAGCAGACACATACTCAGATGTATCACAAAAGAATCAAATAAGTCCTATCTACCCGGTGCTACATATCAGAGGCGACCGACCAAAAAGGAATGAAGCCACGCTTCACAAAATACCTCCCGCAAACTAATCTGCAATGCCTCATAGAGCATTATAAAACAGCAAAAGGGTGAGAAACGATATCATAATAACAATGCATATAAACATATATATATATATATATATATATATATATATATATATATATATATATATATATATATATATATATATATATATATATATATATATATATATATATATATATATATATATATATATATATATATATATATATATATATATATATATATATATATATATATATATATATATATATATATATATATATATATATATAACATTCAATAATTGTCTTCGGCGTTCTCACCGCAACTCTTCACGCCACACCGTACATCGCAATGTATCCACAAAAGTCTATTTACAAATAGAACATCAAGCATAAACAATATGCACCACCAATGTTTATATCAAATCATAAACATACAGAACATACACATACATATATTCACACATATACTTGTCATCAAGCATTCCATTCATGCCAATTATCACAATTCACATAAACATCTACAATCATGTTTATTCACATACATCATGCAAAGATGTCAACATGCAACTCATAGAGACCGACACACGACTCTATGCAGATGCAAATGCGGTACCGACTCATTTCAGCAGGTTCAATTGAAGAACCAAATAACCATCGCTCACATCCCACATGGGCACACGAGGTTCTGCAGATTCTACGCGGAATTAAAATAACCATCGCAACATACGAGGTTCTGTAGATCCACCGAGGGATCAATAAATAACCATCGCTCACACCCCACAAGGGCACACGAGGTTCTGCAGATTCACCGAGGAATCAATAACTAACCGCCGCTCACACCCCACAAGGGCACACGGGGTTCTGCAGATCCACCGAGGGATCAATCGACACAAGAATGCATACCATGATGCTTCACATGCAACGTGACTCATGACACTCTTGAAATGCACACATGTTTACAAACATACTAATGCATTCTACACATTCATCGCATATATTCATACAAACATCATACATCGCAATGTATACTACATGACGTATTCATCATTCATCTCAATCATCATGCATTTTTAATCAAGCTAAACAATGCATGTAATTGCCCCAACGGCCACAATTCATAATCTAGGATTCACGTCATTCGGCTGCCCACAACACATCACAAACCAGCATACGAGCTAATAAATCAAAGAAGGGTCGATCGCAACCTGTCGCTACTCGAAAAGTACGCGCGACGACGGGGAAGGCGAAAAGGGAAAGGACAGAAGAGTCGCCACCGAATTTTATTTATCCCATGAGGGGAAAGGAAAATATCGAGAAAACCTCAAGAGAAGAACGGATAAGATGGTCTCGTGACCAAGAACGGGTTCGGAAGCCGGTTATGCGAGGGGAAGGTATTAGCACCCCTCGCATCCATCGTACTCGATGGGAACCATTTGTTTGTCGAATGTGTAAATTTATTTGCTTAAATATTATGTTACGGGACAGTGAAAAAGGGTTTAGAAATGGGGAAAGGACGTAACAGGGAAGAAGAGAGAAAGGACGGACTCGGTAGGACTTCGCGGTCCTAGGCCTACGTATTCTCGATAGACATGAGAAAATCAGAGTCGACGTAGTTCGGGGAACTACAGATATAAGGGGGAATGTGCTCGACAAGGATTGTGGCCCTCGTGCCTACGTATCTTTACTTGAAAAAGTAAAGAATCAGAGCAGCCGTAGTTCGGCCTACGATTTGTTGATGTTTTTTTATGGATGATGCTATCGTACGCATTCTAGCAGTTAAGTGTATTGCTGCTCGCTCGTTGGAGACTTAGGCATTACCTGTTTGCGGTAGAACGGACGTATCATATCCTTTTCGAAAGATAAGTTTTCGCCATGCGAGGCAAGATGTCACATTTGATTTGTTGAATTATTTTTTAGGGGCGAGATAGGTCCTCAGATGGTAACCCCTACGGGTAGTATCCAATTCTTTATCTCAAAGTTTTTGTTATGAAAGGGTGTGGCGAACATAGCGTCTTCGTATTGAAAGACGAGTATCAAAACCACACACACTACAGTGAGCGTCTCGACACTCGGAGAGGAAGAAGTCTACACTTAATCCTTTCTCTTTAGTTCAATACAAAGAGAACTTCATTCTCTTATTAAAGTGTTTTTTGGTTTTGAATGGTAAGTGCTTTTGCGACAGAGAACCCTACGGTAAACGTCAGCACTCGAGATAGGAGAAGGCCTACGCCTAACCACTCCACGACCATTCAAATTTTTGTTATGAAAAGAGTTTGAAAATGCACTCGGTGCGGGACCGAGGTTTTAGGTGTGAAAGGGTGCGAAAGGAAATTGTAGAGGGAGATAGATGGCGGATAAAGTCACGTCTTCGTATTGAAAGACGAGTATCGAGACCACCCACACTACAGTGAATATCCCAACACTCGGAGTGGAAGAAGTCTACACTCAATCCTCTCTCTTTAGTTCAATACAAAGAGAATCGATTTATTTATTGTAGGTGTTTTGGAAATGCGCTCGGTACGGGACCGAGGATTTTTTAGGGGAAAAAGGTGTGGATGAAAACATCTTTGTATTGAAAGACGAGTGTCAAAACCACCCACACTACAGTGAGCATCTCAACACTCGGAGAGGAAGAAGTCTACACTTAATCCTCTCTCTTTAGTTCAATACAAAGAGAACTTTATCCTTTTGTTAAATATGGTAAGTTGGTTTAACCATTATTTGAGAAAATCCGCTTGACGTTGGGTCAAGGGTTTAATTGCTTAAAAGGCTTGAGGTGAAGCGAACAAGGTCGATGGCGACGCACAAGGCAATCGGCTTACAAGGTCAAAAATGACTCGATGAGAATCGAGAGTTTGCTTTTGAAAATGGTTTTTGG